TTAGGAATTGATACAGAAACAATCAACTCTGCTCTTCAGTTCGAAGAATTTAATCCTCTAAAATAAGTTTCAATGCAATTTCTGGCATTTATTCATACAAAACTTGTAATTGAACCTCAAAACTCCTCAAGGAGGAGATAAGAAATTACTTTTAAATCACTTAAAGTCTCTTTCCCTCTGGTTTCCCTTAAAGTTCTTTAGATTTCAGTACTCCAGTCCAGTCTTAAAATACACACCATTTGACATTTGCTTGGCAGTTTTTTCCCTTTTACTCCAGGGAAATGTAGTGAAAAAAGTGAAAAAAAACGAGAACTGGCAGAAAAAAAAATTGAGAAAAAACAGAGAACTGGTGGAAAAAAATGTGAGAAAAAAAAGAGAACTGGTGGAAAAAAATGTGAGAAAAAAAAGAGAGCTGGTAGAATGTGAGAGAAAAGAGAAGAAGAAGAAGAAAAAAAAAAAAATGATTGCATTAATGCAATTTTAGCATCTCTTCTGCAAGCGAAGTAATGGGGCAAGAGAACTTTAGCGGACACGTTCCTTGTCCGTATCTGTATCTGTGTCTGTGACTGTGTATCTGGGGGTCTGGGCCATCCTCTGGAATCGTTCCCAATTGCCGGGCAAATGACTTCGACTCCACCAATATGCTGCAGCTGCAGCTGCAGCACAGAAGCAGCAGCACAATTCAACTAAATGGAAAAGGACGGGGGCGGCGTACTGCCGCTGCCACTGCTGCTGCTGATGAAGAAATGTTGTAAAATGGAATTGCATTACACATTTTAGGTGCCATTTGTGTCGGCTGTGGGCATGGAGCCATGGAGGGAGGTGGGAGGAGGAGAAAGGAGGCAGGCAGTGGAGTGTGGCAGCCACAAAGCTGATGATGCGCAAACAAATTGGATGCCAAATGGTTAAGCAACGCAGTGGGGCAGAGGGACAGAGAGAGAGAGAGTGGGCCATGATTGAGATATTTATGGTTATGGCCAATATGGATTGATGGATCCATAAGCTACAGTTCTTTTTGTTTTATTTTTTTTTGTTTGTTTGCAGGCAAAAACTAATTGGCGAAAGTTTTTACTGGGGGGGGTTTGAAATGCAAATGAATTTCAAAACAGAAAATGTTGAAAATTTAATGATTAACAGAATAGCCCAAAGGCTTTAACTAATTGAAAACTTGTTGGCCCTGGCCCTGGAAGCTGCCAATAAAGTTCAGGTTTTTGCTTGAAATATTACCATATTCCTGTGGGGAGGGGTAGACATCCCCTGTGATTTAATTTTGTTCTAGTTTCAGGAGCATAATCAAATTAAATTCCAATAAAATTTCTGTTCGGTTCACACGCTCCATGCCCACGTATCCCCCTGCCCCCTCTGGGATTTCATATCTGATAATGCTGGTATTTATTTTTTTTAGAGCAATCTACTTTTTATATTGCCTCTAATCCGATAAATGCTTTTTAATTGCATTTGCAACCTTATCCCAGGGACACTTGAAAATGTGTTCATGCCTCATGCAAGCGGAGGCAGGGAGAAGCAAGAGAGGAGGCGTGCAACGGGGTGGCAGCTGGAAAGATGGAAGGTCGAAGGGCGTGTGTGCTGCAACCCTTGGCTAATTGCCTGGGTGTAAAATGTGTCGTTGTCGAAGGACGTACAACCCCTATACAACAACAAAATATAAAAACGGGGACCTCCTGTGGCAGACAAAATTGATAAAAAAAATGAAGGATGCAAGCACTAATTTTTTGTCGGTAGATTAGATAAACATAAATCTTTATTATAAGAAAAATAAACAAAAATTGAAGCTGGGAATAAAGTTTCAATGGTAAAATTATTTTCATTTAATCTCTCACTTTTCTCACTGCATATTCCTCATATTCGCCAAAAGCAAAAGTTCATTCAACTGCAAACCAAACCAAACGTAGCTTAAACCTGGGATAAAGCTCTTTCACCTGCTTGGCAAAGCTTGTAAGCCTGCAAAAAAAAAACACTCAAGCTTTGTCATTTAGCTCCCCGTCTCAGCAACGTCTCGATGTCTCAAGAACCACCCCACTCAGGCAATGCCTCCAGAGGCCTACAAACATATGTTTCTTAGCAGCTCGTAAATCCCACATACTCTTACATACATACATATATAAGAAAACAAATTGTGAACACGAGACAAGATATTCGCGCGAGAAGACGTACAGACATCATGACCCTAATGACTGTGGGAATTTTTTTGTAACCAACCGCCGTCACTGACATTGCCTCCCTTCCTTTTAATGTACATACATACACATGTGTGTTTAAGAAAAAAGAGCAAGAAGCTCTTAAGTTCTTATTAAGAGCACAGCTTGTGCCGAGGCGCGGCACTGCCAGCTTTAAAAAAAAATGTGTTTGAATTTGTAACCGACATTTAAACTAGCTTTGAAACTTGCATTTATTTCTTGTGAATTTCTAACTAATTTGTGATTTTTATATTATTTATTTCAGCATTTGCAGGCACTAAAGAATTAGAGAGATTTTAAGGTAAGTTTTTAGACTTTTTTAAAATATATTTTATAGAGAGCGAAACAAGTGCAACAATTGTAGGAATGCAAAACGAACAATTAAATATAAAATTCAACTTGCAGAAATAACATATTATAATTATAATAACATTATAAATCTAAATAAAATAATTCCCTAATAAACCGGCCATAATTCTACGAGATACTCTTGAAATTCCCATAAATCGACGAATCCTTTGATCCCGGTAATAAAACGATAACAAAGGAATAAAAGGACCATCAATCCCAATTACCATGCACTACAAAATCCAGGACAAGTGGATTATGCCATATAAAAATGAATAAAATTAAAAACTTAAACTGCTAAAACGTACATCATTTATGACAAATAATTCCAACCAACTTGTAGCTAAATTGCTTTTCAATTACCAAAAGTTCAATTGATTTGGTAATTTTCCTGTCTTCCTTCCCCATTTTTGAGATTTACAAACAAATTATCCAACAAATTGTACGATAATAATAATTGCATTGCCATTGCCTCCTTAATAACAATTACTGTCCGGGGATTGAGTTCATTTTGGATTGGTTCGGATAGGATTACTCATGGGGGCAGTTCGCCGGCGAGGGGCGAGGGGCGACGACCGACACACATGTTTTGCGATGAGTGACTGTTCTGTAAACCGCTCAGTGATGGCTGCGCGTTTTGCCGCATTTTGATTGAAATTTTGATTAGGTTGCACATGCGGTGTTGCGGCTTTACCTCCAGCACAGCACAGCACAGCACAGCACAGTCCAGCCGAGCCCAGCCCAGCCCAGGCCCCCATTCTGACATTGATTTCTCCACCCACTCTGCCAGCCATTCTTCAATCTGCAATCTCTACTTTCCGTTTGCGGCTTTGTCTGGTTTTTATCTTTTGTCTGCTCATTGCAGGAAGGAGTGTGTGTTGTAGGAGTAGGAGTACCTGCAGTGGGAGTGGGAGTGGGTGTGTCTGGGCTATGTGGTATCCATGGCCTGAAGTTGGGAGGCCCTTTATGCTGCACAAATTTTTTTCATTTTAGACGATAATATACCCCAGCTGAATCTCTTGTGTACCTTCTGCTCTACTCTAAATATTCTCGGTAGCATTTTTTTTGTATGTTTTTACCTGACTTTCTTGGCTCTACCTGGTTTCGTTCTTCAGATTCAGATTCGTTGCATTGCAATTTTTCGCACGTTCCAATGTTATTCTCTTTCTTCTATCTCTTTAATCTCTTGCCTCGCACACACATACGCACACGTGGAAATTTATCTAACTCTGCGTTCTCTTTTTTTATCTGGGCATTCTCTTAAGCCGCGCTCTTTGAGCAAATAACGACCTTGTCTCTTTCGCTCGCGCGCTTCTTTCTCGCTCGCTCATTCGCCCGATACGATCGATCATTTGGCATTGTTGTCACGGAATTTAGGTTGGGCCGCCACTTATAGTACGTTCGATAAGTTCAATTCGTTGATTACCCCGAACATTGATTATTGCCTAGTTAATCAGTTTGTTCTTCTTGTTGTGTTCCATTCTTTGTTTTGTGACATTTCATAATCATTTCACGATGAATTCACTGCATATGGAGTCGCAATAACTCTCTTTGGCGCGTCCACTCTCTTGAGTACACAGCGACAGAAGAGCACAAGAACAAAATAAAAAAAAAATAAAAAAAACGGGCAGCTGCAGAACTCAGGAACCAAGACCAACTGGTTTCCGGTGCACTACAGTCGCGTGCATGGGGTACATGGATTTAACCATACCTAAACCAAGATCACTTCAGATCTCCAGCTTACTAATTGTTTTGGCAAACAGCTTAAATATTTCGCTGGTCTTTTCTGCGGAATTTCAAACCAGACCTCTGATGCCATGCTTTCCAAGAACTCAACCTTAACCGCATATCTACTGTCCCACCTACTGATAATGTATCTCCTAACCAAGTTGTGATCTTCGGCAGCAGCGCATCTGTGATTCTACCTAACCCACTGCCATTAGTGGCCATATGGTCATGGGCGTAGCTGAGATCGCTGCAGAGAGGGGTTTATTCTCGTAGACTGCCAATACCTATACCTATGAATATTCTATTGCCATTATTTAGCTGAGCAAACTTTACGCTCTTCTTTAATTCATATCTCCTCTCCTCTTTTATCTACGCCCCTTTCGTGGTCACAGTTTTATCATTGCCGTCACCAAGCCAGCAACAACAACAACTACATATAGCAAACAGCGCAAAGCAGAGGTGAAACAGAGTGAGAGAGAGAGAGCAAAAAGAAAGAAGAAGCAGCAGCAGAGAACAAAAACCCGTAACTCTGACGGTTGCCGTTGTTGGTAGTAAATAAGACAGACAGGCACGAACAGGCACACACAGATACAACCCTGCCAACAGCTGCTGTCGCTCGCTGCGCTCTTTCGACCGCTCTCTCTCTATCGCTCTCTCTGACTCTTCTCTTCTCTACCGATTTTCATTCGACACCGTGTGGTGCCGCCTGTACAGTAGAGCAATTTGAGCCGCCGCTGTTACTCAAAAACCGTTGCCCCGGATAAACGTGTCGTTCCGTGCAGTCTCTCAAGTATCGATGTCCGCGTAAAGGGGGGGTTCGCGAACCACAGTTATTTTAGTTAGTCCGAGTGCTTGGCCACAGATCTAAGACACGATCCTACGGCATTCAATTCAATTCATCCATCCATCCATTCGGGTTAGTCAGTCAGGGTTAAGTCAGGGAAGAGGTTACAAGAGGTCTGGGGAGCAGTCGATAATCGGTATTTATCGTGTTTTTTGCGCGATTTTTCCCCCTGCATTCCGTACCGAACCGAACCGAACCGCGTCATTGTTGCTGTGGTGTCTTGCTGGTGTATTTGTGGAGTGTTTTCTTGGAATCCAACGCCTTTGGAGTGCGCATAAAATATATTTAAGAAACGTTTGCAAATAAAAAAAAAAAAAAAAAAATAGCCACTCGGAAGAGCGACAAAAATACAAGTTATATAAGGCCGAAACCGGATTTATCATTCATACGACTACGACGACGACGACGACGACGACCGTGTGGCATATATTATATACGGATCGGATCTACTGTATCTATATATATGTGGCCAAAACAACAGAACTCTTGGATAAACAACAATAACCCCACACACTCTGCAATCCGAACTGAAACCTCAACCGATATTTAAATGGTAAATTTTTAAACACAAAGCAGCAACAACAACGCGCAAAATCTCAGTAAAAAAAACGAGTTTTTGTGTGAAATCAAAATTTGCATATGGATTTTGTTGTTGCTGTTGCTTTGACATTTTGCAAGAAACAGTAAACATAAAAGAAATATTTGGAATATTTGTACAACTTTCTGTTTTTGGTTTTTGACGTTTTCAATGAGTTTTAGGCGATTCACAGCCGATGGAACTATCGAACTATTATATTTACACATTTGTGCAGCTGTCGAAACGTGCGACACAGCTGCAGTTGTCTTTGTCTCTACAGAAACTACATTTTAATGGGAATATCATTATGAGGATCGAAGCCCCATTAATTAGCAATTAAATGATAACCAATATGGCTTCAGATACTTCAGCTAAAAACCAAATAGAATTTTGTGTAATTTGCACTTGAAACTGGTAATTTGGGGAATGGCGGTGCAATTAGCAGGTTGTTTCGACATCTACTATAGTTACGACTGACTGATCCCCCACGTTCTCGCTGCTCTCTCTCACGTCTCTGATGATGAATCATTATTAATGCATGACTAAAGCCGCGGTTTTATACATATATACATACAATAAACAATATAATAAACAATCGAGAGCCCCGCCGAGGTTGACAAATTAATGGATAAACAATTGCGAAAATCTACTGAGAATTCGTATAATAATTGAGACAAAAAAATATACGTATAAAATACTTTTATTCGACTGAACTTTGTTTGGCAGTTTCTTTTTTTGTTTTGGTTTTTTATATAAAATGTAATTTATTTTAATGTCTACTTTGTGGAAAATGGTTTCGACTGTCAACTGCATAAATTACGCGGGAAAACAAAAGGGGGGTGTGGAAAATAGGGTGAAACGATTTCCCATTGAAATGGGAAATGAATTGGCGTGGCCAAGAAGAGAGTGAGAACAAACCGTCGAGTTGGAGTCGGAGTCGTGCGAGAGTGGGTGAAAATAAATTATAATTACATTGTAATTAAATGCAAACTTTGGCCCCAAAGCGAAAGCCACACACAGAAAAGAGAGTTTTCCCCACCATAGAAAAAATCCACTCTAATGCAATGTTCTTTCAGAGACAGACAGACAGGCAAAGAGATCCCTAACAAAGGTTTTCCCTGATTATACATAAAAAATAAATCTCGACTTTAGTTCATAAAAAAAAACTTCACACACAACAGCAGTGAAAAAAGCCATTCAGAAACATTCCACAAAGAGAGAGAAAAAAAGGTAGAGAGAGAGAGAGAGAAAAAAACTGGTAACAAGACAAGAGACAAAAAAGTAAGAACATAATGCTTTATGGGTTGGGTGCAGTCGAGCTGCTGCAGCAGAGAGGAGGAGGATAGGAGGATAGATGGTGGGGGCAACCGGTTCTTCAGTGGCTCCACACACACACTCCAACATTTTCTCACATGCCTTTCGATTATGCCAAAGCGACTGACTGCATTCTTCGAGTCGGGAGTCGCGACTCGCGGACTCCAACTCCAACTCGGACTCGGACGCCAGCGAGCGGCTTTCGCTAAACTGTTGGCTAAAACCCAAACGACCTGGCGGAGAAGAGCTCCAGCTCCAGCTCCATCCCATCCTCAAGCTACAAGTTCAACAAACAGCAGAGAGATATACTCGAGAGAGAGAGAGACCAGAGAGTTGATCTGCTGCTGCTGCTGCTGCTGTGGCTGCATAAAACTTTAATTTCATGGAATTTCCTTTCTATTTTTATGCAGCCACGCAGATGATTAACCAGCGAGCGGGGCAAAGACAGCCAGCCAGCCAGCCAGCCAGCCAGCCACTCAACTCAAGAACACGGGAACAAGTCCAAGACCAATAGCAAGACCAAGACCAAGTCCAAGTCATTGTTACCACTTGCCCCATGCTGCAACTGCGGCAACGTCTGGGGCCATTAACTTGGCAATGCGTCTGGGGGGACTCTGCATCCGTTGGGGCAGTCATCTATTCCTTGGATTCATTCCACTTCTAAGCCAGCAAAAAGGAAATTAAAAATGCAAAAAAAAAACATTGGATAATTATGCGACGTAAACGTTTTGTCATTAAGTCTGCGCTTAGCAGGCAGATTTCCTATAGCAAATCCTGTACGAGTATTTAATGATGATGGGGGCATAAAAAGAGATTTCTCTCATCCGCAAAACATTATCTAATTCCCCTTTGGAATGGCAGCCCCTGCTGTAAATAATAATTAAGGCAAGGCCTAGAACTTGGCAAAGTTCTCTCAACTTTTTCATTATTCTTGACACCTTGCCTGACTTGACTTGACTTGACTATCTGTCTGTCTGTCAATAGTTAACCAGAGCCTTGGCCCTGTCCTGGCACATTTCATATTAATGCCAAAAAGTTTTGCAATGTCCAACACGCAAGCCAAAATGGTAATAACTTGGCCTTGAGTTGGCACAGAGTACAGAGCAGAGCCATAAAAGCCGCAGCAAAAGAACTTGCAAGAATGTCAAAGGGCATGTACGTGCTGAGCATTTTACCTGCAATAAAGGAGTTAAATTCGCGTTCTGTCGGTGGGTTTTGAGGCATTAAATAAGCAGATTATTTATGGGGTTTTTGGTGGGATGTTCTTTGGCTTTAAACCTTATTAGAAGATGTAAAGATTTATGGCTGGAACTGCTCTCTAAAGCCATTCGGATTCTGTATTCCCTCCCCTTTAAGCTCTTTTTCTGTTGAACTCTGATATCATCATCATTATGGCTGATTGGGGGGTTCTCTGAGCAGAGTGTAGCCACTTCTTTGAGCTCACACAACACACTTCCTGGGCAAACACTTGCCACACCTGTTCACATTTGCAATGCCCCACCCCCCTCCCACCCAAAAAGTAGGGGCACGCACCTCCCCCCACTCCAATACACTGCAAGGGCTTCCTGCTTTACTCTCGCTAGTATGTATATTCGTTGTATGTGTGTATATTTAGTGCTGTCTATCGATTATTTACCCACCTGTATTTGCAGTCTACTTTTGGGCGCTGGCACCCCCGGAAATTGCCACAGCAATTGGCCAACATTCACAGCTGTTCTGTGTGTGGTGGGGGGGAATAAACAGCAAAACGGAAATAGTCACATGAAGAGAAAATGTAACTTTGTTACAGTTTTGTTGTCCCCATTAAATTGATTTGCCAGTAACCCCAATCCCAATCTATCCAAAAATCAACGATTACCTATGACAATCAGAGCAGAGCAGAGCAGAGAGACAAAGCCATACTACAGTGAGATTATGCACTGAGAGAGATACAGAGAGAGAGAGGGAGACCTTAGTTCGAGAATTGTTTAGAGATTTTGTTTTGTCAAGCTTCGTTGGTTTTTACAGGCCACACGTTCCCGAACCCCCAATGATGACCTTTACAGCTATATAAATCGGTTAGATAACTATCTGAACTTCGTACATCAAAAAACTAAGTTTCATTCGCTGTTGATGTCACGTAGCTTACTATCCAGACAACTTTGTGGACAAACAAACTAGCTGCTGTCCCCCTGGACTTTTGATTTCTTATCGTAGTTGGACAGAAAAAAAACACAAAGAACACTTCAACTAAGCCTGTGTTTATGCATGTCTCCAGGGTAAATATTATATATAACTTTTTGTGTGCTTTGATTACATGAAGATTCTGTAAAGATCAAAAGTTAGAAAATTCAGGGGAAATTCTGGGATAAATGTGGCCTCACTCTCTTGGAAATTCTATACTCAACTAAAGCCAGAGAAATGTGTATCTCTTTGTGGTAATCTTTTAAGTATATTTCTTGAAAGTTTTTCTTGTGCCTATGGAAAGCATTTCCCAGAAAATTATCCAACTGCAAGGAATGTCACAAATTTCTTATCCATCCATTATGAATAATGTATTATGTGATTTTTCTTGTTCTTCTTCGCAAGTTTTTCTCGTTTTTCTTTTCCAATTGACTTCTTGTGTTTGGCTTTCAATTGAATTTTGCATAAATTAAAAGCTTTAACACTCGACAAAAACTTGTTCTTTGAAGAAGAAACAGAACAGGTTTCCCCCGCCCCAAACACTCTTCTGGCAGTGAAAAATATTTGATAATATTTTGTTATGTATGTATGCCACATGTAGCATGGTGCATGGAGCATGGAGCGAGGCGTTCTGTGAGTCATAAACAAATATTTGCATAATTCGCAAAAAATACCAGAGAAAAAATACACAAAAGAGAGCTATAGAGGGAGAGAGAGAGAGAGAGAGAGAGAGAGACTTCCTCTGATAGATCGATACCTAATTTGGTTTGCATCTGCTTCAGAAAAACAAACAAAGGATCGGGACACGAACCACAGAAAGGTTCCTGTTCCTTTTCTTTTCTCTGTTTTTTTTTTCTACCTGAAAATCGTGGCAAATCCAAGTGACTTTTGTTGTGGAGCAGCAGAACAGCAGACGGCAGACGGTTCCACACTTAACAAGTCTCGGGGACGCCTCCAATTCCGATTCAAAGTCCTGCTCCTTTGCCACGTGCACTAGTGGAACATATGTACACATGTCCTTTGGCAGGAGTAGGGGCTAACAGGACATCAACAACAATAACAACTGCTGGCTGGCTGGCTGGCTGGCTGACTGACTGGCTGAGTGTCTGGCAGCCGGCATCCATTCAAGCGACAGATGCAAACAATTTTCGAAATATACAGAACCAGAAACCCGCTGAAAATTGAGTTTCCCTTCTGCCGCCTTCTGTCCTGTCCTTCTGCATGTCTCGTGTGTGGACGACAGGATGGTGTTCTACTACCACTTATGCGAGTGCCTCTACAATACAGGATATACATACATACATATACACATATATGTGTGTTTGCATTTCTCTTGTTTCTACTCACGCGTTTCATCGTTCATTCGTTTATTCCTTTGTTTTCATGCGTTTTGTGACTCCTTTTCATACTTCCGTTCGGTTCTTTTTGAGGTTTTCTTTCAAGTGTTTTCTTGTGTTTTGTTTGGGGGGATTTTTGGATTTTTTGTTTTTGTCAAAAAG